AATAAACTCTAACCACCAATCAACTCTTTTTTTTTCGACAAACCACCAATTAGCTCTTAGAGGTACATGTTTAGCTCTCCTATTTGGACACCCCAGAACTTCCGAACTATTTTTAGTAATGCAGATCCAAACATCGCTAGTATATGTTCTTCTTCCTCTCTTTATGATCGTGAGTGTTGTTAGTCGCGCTATGCGTGACATATCCTAGCAAAAAGCGATTTCCTACCATTACCTCGTAAAGGATGAGGGTTGAATGGTGGCTGCAGCCAGGCACGAGCGTCCAACAAAAGACATTTAAAAATTAGTATTTTGCAATAATAATTGTCACACGAACACACATGTAAATGTTATTGTTTTATTAAAAGTTTTATTTTACCGCTTAAAATGACAGACATGAGTATATTTTTTGAAAAACAAATAAAATAAAAATTATTCCATAAAGGAAACTGGGCTCACACTCAAAATGGGCCAGATTAGCCCCGTGAAGCCAAAATCCTTCTCGTAGAAAACTCCAGCTCAGTCCACGCTTTTGGGCTTTCCTTTCTTCTCTCTTCGTCCTCCCCACCGAAGCAGGGAGATGCGGAGGGCGTCGCCTTCGCCGCTGGCGGTCTTTGCCGCCATGGTCGTGGTGTTTCTGCCTGCCCCTATTCCTCAGGATGCCTCCCCGCTTGGCCACGCCTTCCTTCTCTCTTCTCGGTGAGCCCCTTCCCCTTCCCGCTGTTGCGTCATTCGATTTGAGCAGGCGTAGTGTCATATCGTCAGCTTGGTTAGTTGCTTCGTGCGGTTTCTCTTGCAATTTGCGGTGCCTTAGTGAACCCTTGCCCTTTGTTCGTAGTGCGGCAATTGCTGGATCATTTTAGGGGGATTGATGTGGTTGTACTTGTGGGAGAAATGGCGTGGCAAAACTCACAAAAAATTTTAGTTGTCTTTAATCGGTTACATGCCATTTCAGAGAAAGTGCAAAACTAAGACCTTCATGGAAATTAACTGAACTATAAAGTTACAGTGCTATCTAAAGAACTGATTCTTTTGAAGGATATACCATTCTGCTTGTATATGTCCTCCAGGATCTTTGTTTTCTTTTCGTGGTATACTGGATGAAGTGTGTGCTGGAGTACTTGGTTTGATCACAAGTTGATACCATTGTGGGCACAATGTGTGAAGCTCAACTTATGAGATTACAGTAGAAGTATGTTTCTGGTGAATTATTCTGTAAAATGTTATATATAATTTTGGAATTTTGCATGCGGTCAATGTTTTGTTTCCGATATTTTGCGGAGTGAATGCCCTAAGCTAGTGCATCCTTCTCTTTTAAATGAGGCTTTGCAATGGGCAATTGTAGGTACATCCTTGTCAGATGAAAACTACCATTGTTATGGTTGATTATATTTTAAACATATGTTCTGTTTGCAGACAGATGAACAAAAGAGAGAGCTATGGTCACTTGCCATATCAGGGGTGGAAACCATGCTTAAAGCCCTCAATTTCTCACGGTAATTTACTTCTATTCCATGATGATGAAACATAATTCCTCTTCCTGTTGAAGAAATTAGTTAATTGAGCACCCTTTATTTTAATGATAGCATTACCTCTGGAACCAAGTGGATACATCCAAGTAGTATTTCTTGATGGTGGATTGAACCAGCAAAAGAATGGGGTATTCTTAATCTAATTACTGATAGTATGATTTTAGGACATGAGATAGCTTGCTTAATCCAGGCTTTAGATTAATAACTCTTTTTTTTCCTATTCTGTAGATATGTGATGCCGTTGCAGTTGCAAAGATTCTTAATGCTACTCTTGTGGTCCCACATTTTAAAGTAAACCCTGTTTGGAAGGATTCAAGGTGCCTCTGGAGTTTGAAACTATATATTTCATGTTTCTCCTGTTGAGCTGGAACTATTTTATACTGGTACATTATTTTCTGCTGCAGCTCATTTGAAGAAATATTTGATGTGGACCACTTTATCAACTCCTAAAAGATGAAGTTTCCATTATCAAAGCGCTTCAAAAGAATTTTCTTGGAGCACAAGAGAGTACTATGGCACAGGCATCCGTGCTACAAGAATAAAAACTGCACCTCTTCACGCCAGCAAATTGGTATTTGGAGAGTGTCAGTCCCTATCCTGCAAAGGTTAGTGAAAGATTGAATTTGCAATGTCTCAATTTGTTATGCATGTAGTTTTACTTTCTGAAGGCGCTTGTATCACAAGACATCTTTCTAGCCCTCTCTTTAATGATTGCCTTAGTTGAGATTTTTGCACTGATTTTCATATTGATAGATACTTGACATATTGAATACAATTACTAAGAGAGTCGTCCATGTTTTGCCCAGGTGAGCTGCTACCGAGTTAGCTCTATTTCTATTAACATTATGTCTAACTATTGTTTGATTTTCTGAGTTGGTTACTCTATGAAGATAATTTTTCACCAGCAATCTTATCTACCTGCTGTGTCACTGCCAGCTATGGGATTGCTGCAATCGCTCCCTTTTCTCACCGCCTTGCATTTGATGATTTGCCTGCGGATCTTCAACGCTATGCTAGTAAAGTTAATTTCAAGCTCTGGTCTTTCGGCCTCACATTATCTCACTCAGGTAGACACTTGTGAAGCGCTTGAGGTCTCCAGTCCAGGGTCATTCCAGTAAATCCATCCATCAAAGTTGTAGGAGACACAAATCAAGTTGAAAAATATGCAGTTTTGCATCTCCGTTTTGATAAGGTAGATGACAACTTCTGCAGTATTGGATGGTGCTTGTGTATCTTTGTGCTCTTAAAAGAATTTCTGTTCCAGAACATTGCAAACTTACCTATACTTTTCAGGATATGGCTGCACATTCTGCCTGTAACTTGGGAGGTGGCAGAGCTGAACAGCTAGCTCTTGCTAAGTACAGGCAAGTTATATGGCAAGGAGGGTATTAAATTCACAGCTAACTGATGAGGAGCTTCGAAACACAGGACGCTGCCCATTGACCCCAGAAGAGATTGGGCTATTACTGGTAGCCCTTGGCTTTGACAGCAGAACTGACTCTATCTTGCTTCTCACAAGGTTTGACTCTTCTGTGCACTTATTCTTGTAGGGGAAATCAGGAAGTTTTAACATCATAACGTGCCTCACATATTCAGGTATATGGTGGAGAAGCCAGGATCTCAAGCTTGCGCAAACTATTTCCATTGATGGAGGACAAGAGGAGCCTTGCATCTGAAGATGAACTTGCTAGTGTTGAAGGGAAGGCTTCTGTTCTAGCAGCTCTTGACTATTATATCAGCATGCACAGCGATATTTTCATCTCCGCATCTCCTGGAAATACGCACAATGCTTTGGTAAGTTCTCATGGCCTCCGTATTTGTTAGATTATTCCTTTAATGTGTAGTCTTCACTAGAACAATTTTTCGTTTCAGTTGGCTCACCGAACCTATGAGAACTTGAAGACCATAAGGCCAAACATGGCATTGCTTGGCCGCATCTTTGTGAACAAGAGCATGGAGTGGCCAGAGTTTCAGCAGGTTGTACAGGCAGGACACAAAGGAAGATACGGGCAAATCCGGCTGAGAAAGGCAACGCAATCCATCTATACTTATCCTGCACCTGATTGTATGTGCCGAGGATAGACTGCTAGTTTCAAAGTTACAGACTCGGTTCTGCAGCAAATGAAGGTCGAGGATCGCCGTCTGATATGTTGCAGTGCGGTTAGTACATTCCAGCTGCCACTAGATACGGAAATTTGATTCCAAAAGTTTTGGGCCTGTTTGCTGCTGCTGTTTGCACAGTACTCTGTGAGAGACAGCCGCAGCCACACCTGCAGCAGCAGCCACAGAAATGAGCAGCACAGTACTCTGTGAGAGTCATTTAGCTCGTTCAATTGAATCTCAACATTAACGAATTGATCTGTAGCCTCAAGAAGCAAAAAGCAAATCCTTCTCTGGTTCTCTGTGAATTTTTTTGGACAGATTCTATGTACTGTCTGTTCATAATACAGTTGGGGGCAGATGTAGTTTATAGAAATTCGTGGTTGTGACGGGTCTTACGATATCACACCTGACATCAGCTTGTACGTCTATTTCACTGCATCATGTTTTCTTCAGTGCTGAACTATGTACTTGGTTCATGAGCGAAACTGACCCTGCTCGAGTTTTAAGACGGGCGAGCCGAGCCAAACTTTGTTTTAGCTCGTTAGCCTTAACGAATCAACGAGCCTTTTTTTTTTCGAAAGCGTACATTGGCACGTGTTTTGTTAAGGAGTTTAACGAATCAAGCTCGAAGTGAGCCGAGCCTTAGCGGGTGAAGGTGGCTCATTAACAATGACAATTATTTGCTCTCTTCAAATAAGCTATCGGGATCCACTCCTTGTACTAGAATCATTATATTGCTATCTTGTTCATGATTGAGCCTTGTTCGACTGTTGTTGCAAGGGTTCGAGCAAGTATAATAAATAGCATGTAAGCTGGTTAAATGCTGAGGTGGCGGAAAGAAGGAATGAGAGAGGGGAGAAGTGGGCTATAAGCTTCGAACAACTCCAACAGTTTGGCTAAAATTACTAGCCAAATTTCATAGTTTAGTCATCTTGTAAAATAGAAAATTTCTCAAAAAAAGAAGAGGTCTGCAGCAGCTTTGCTATTTCTCATCTTCGATATAGCAAGCGCCATGGTTGGCTTTATATATGGCCACCTAAAATCAAGGGATAACCAAATTTCTATTTTACAAAACCAGATAGCATATCTGTTGGAGTCTATTTTTTTGCTATACAAATTCTAAAATAGCCTTCAAAACAAGAATAGCCGAGCTGTTGGAGTTGCTCTGATGTCGGTTTGGGCATAAGAACCAATAAACTCTGCGAGAGAGAAAAATGAGCCTTGTATTAACAGTGTAAGCTAACCACTATATGGGTGGACTGAGAGAAAGCTGCAAAGAACTTTACACTTAGCTAGCCTAATTTGTATTATTAGTCTTGCTCTAATTTGATTTTTTTAGCCGAATTGATGACACGGACACAGCTAGCTTTGACCTTGTGTTCTTCAAAACTTAAACTTTATGTTTTTTTTTGAAACATGATTTTATAGAAATTGCAGAAGAGTTTCACTAAAAATCGGTTTATTTTAAAAAATCAGAAAAAACCTGTGTGTTCTTCAAACTTAAAATGCAGGAATTGTACAAGAGTTTCACAGAATTTGGTTTCTAAAAAAACGCAGAAAAAGAACCATATCTAAAGGGCCCTTGGTCGTTTATTTTCTCTTGCAGTTTTGATTCTGGCGTCCATCTCCCACATGGCTCCTCTGAACCGGTAGTTGTCGAACTCGTGAGCACAACGATCCGAGCTGAGCTGTAGTAGTTTTGGACATTGCTTATCACCGAGCTCAGATATTTTTCTAATCATATATTAAAATAGAGAAGATATAAACATGACGACACGAATGCTATTTTTATCTCATATATAACAATAGAGAAGATAATAAATTCTTCAACGGGCTCAAATAAATGAGCGCGTAGGGCCCGTTCCAACTCGTGCACACTAGGCCCAGCCCATAAACTACAACATACTCGGCGCATCCCCGAAAACCCTAGGAAGTTCGGTGACAGCTATATATACGGCCGCCGGGCGAGGCCCCAACAATCGCCGTCCCCCGCCCACAGCAGCCGAGCCTATCTCCTTCGATTCGAAGCTCTCCTGTTTGCCTCGTTCGATCGATTCGGCCTGCGGGTAGCGGCTCCGTTCCGTGCTGTGCCGTGTTGCTTGAGCGTGTTCTTCCGATTTTCTCCGGATCTTTGGTTATTGTTTTGATCGTTTTTCTTGGCGATTTGGATTGGGATTAGATGGGAGCAGGTGATGAGAACAAGACAGGGACATCAGAACCCTTTTCTGGGCGTGATAGACTAAGTCTTCAATGGGAATCTCTCTGATGCTTTTGGCTTCCCCAAAACCAAATCTCGTTTCTCTGTATTGCTTCCGAGATCTTGTTTCTTCTGGTAATTGGCTGCTGATGATGCATAACAAATGCACGTGTTATCGGATTGTTCCATGACGATCTACAAATTGTCACTACCACTGAGGCAGACTTTTAGATCTGCAATCTGTTTTCTTTTGAATTTGATTAATTTGTTTGTTTTTTCTCTTTCTGGTTCTGTTTTCCGTTGGTCTGATAAGTTATCTCGAGCACATTGCCTATGATGGTGTTAAATATACTTTGTAGCGTTTTCGCTGTGAAATAAACTTAAATCTGAGGCATTTGCAGTTCAATAATCGTTGTTGCATCATATCAGTTCAATAATCTCGACGATCCTTCCTTCGTGTCATGCCCTCATCGTCTACTACGTTTTCTTGAAATAAGACTGTCTACTACCAAATAGCTCAAAACCTGCAGAATATGAATTGGAAACGAAATGGGATTGCCTGTAGTATGTAATATCTGATACGAAAGGAAATTAATCATATCTGATACAAAAGGAAATTGTGGTGGAAAGTTTCATGCTCGGATCATGTAAACTAGATTCTGTCAAATAGTAAGAAAAATATTTGAATTACCAAGGTTGTGTTTGTTTCCCTTCTAAACTCTTACATGGGATGTTCAGACACAGGAGTAATAAATATAGACTAATAAATATGTAGATTAAAACTAATTTACGAGATATTTTTTAATCTGAATTAGTTCATAATTTTACAACGTTCTGCTACAGCAATGATGGGTTAATTAGGTAATTGGGTTTAATAAATTTGTCTGGCAGATTATCGACGATTTCTATAATTTATTCTATTATTACTGTCTGAGTGACAACAGATACGATATGATACCTGTAAATTTTAGCCCTGGTACAAGCACGCCGTAATTTTAGCTTTTTGAGACCTGCTGTTGCTGGATGGACTGATTGCTTCAGGTAGATTCCAAACTATCCTGACCCTTAAGGCCATTGTTTGAAGGTTTCGAATCATGTGAATAACCAGTAATTTCCTGGCCATTGCCTAATGATTCGAATCATGTGGATAACCTGTAATTTAGGATTATGGCCGGTTTCAAATCATGTGGACAATCAGTAATTTCCCGAAATTCAAATTCAGGGTTATGGCCGTGTTCGTTACAGCTGGCTGCAAATTGTGTTCGATGAAGCCTGCTGCTGATATGAATAATATTTTTCAACTTTTTTTTTATCTCACATGAACATCGTAAACTTCAAAAACTTTTTATGAAAATCATAAAACAACCAGACCTATAAATGGCCAATTTTCTTGATTTAGCTAGTCAAGTGTGTATTTTTATTTTTTTAGCAAAAAAAATGCGCAAGAATTTTTTTGAACATGCATTAATCTATATCTATACAACTAAAAAACGTCAAATGCAATTGTCGAACAAAATAGAACCATACTCCTTTGACAAAACTTTCTCTCACGATATCCTCCGTGCGCAATTTTTATATGAAAGGCCTTTTTTTTATTTCTCTATTCCACTCCATTTAAATCTAAGAAAGAACCCAATTCAATGAGATTTCACTAGTATATAAAAAGAGAAATAGATACAAACACAAGGTCTCATTCCTTGTTATAGAATTTTTGTTTCAAAGCAAAGAAATATTATATATATTCAGCAAATGAAATAGAGTCGGTGAATGAAGCGAATTCATTAATAACTCAATTTATAGATAAAAATGAAAAAAAGAAATCATTGCCTTCTTTCTTTTATCTTTGTATATTTATCGTACTTTTGCCCTGGGACTCTTTTAACAAATGCCTGGAATTTGGAACTTTAGATTAAGAATTGGTGGAATACCAGTGAATCCTTTGACAAAACTCTTTCTCTCTCGTTCTCTCCTCCTTGCGCAATCTCCTTTGGTCCTTTGATAACACTCTTTCTCTCCCTATCTCCTCCCCGCACAATCTCCTTCAGTCCTCATCTCCTCCCTTGTCCTGCACGCTTAATTGGGGGACAGAGATTAAGTAACTGAGAGTAACTTAGCTGAGTCACAGCATAACTCGTCGTCCAACTAAATCCAAATGGTAATCCTAAAGCGCTTGGGACGTCCGGTCGCGCTGAAACGCCCCGGACGCACGCTTCTTCCCAAACCCACCCACCCAGTGAAGGGATAGAACGAAACATCGCTGCTCTTTCCAAACCCGCTTGATTTCCCAGGGAAATAGAACGGAACACCGCTCCCTTCACAAACCCACCCGCCTCGCCGCGAGAATAGAACGGAACCCGTCCGCCCCCTGCGTCACCCTGTTCCCCCACCGCATTCCCTGTCCCAAGAGCACGAAAACACTTCAAGTGCAACATCACAAACATATGAAAAAACTATATTGTAACATCGGAATATGAATACTGGAACATCGCAAAGATATGTAGTGCAACATCAAAAATTATGTGCTGCAACATCGCAAAAACATGTACTACATCGAAAAAACATGTAATGCAACATCGGAAAATATGTACTGCAATATAAAAAATTATGTGCTGCAACATCGAAAAATATGTACTGCAACATCGCAAAATCAACCATGAAATATGGAAAATGGGCCATTCGAAAAACATCTGTTGCAACAACAACAAAAAATCCCATTGCAACATTCAAAAATCATATGTTGCAACATAAAAAAAACCATTGCACCACGGAGAAAACAGCAAAGGGTGTACGAACAACAAGGAGATGGGTTCGAGGTGCAGGCTGTTCTAGCCTTGGGCCATCACCTCTGGGCTCGCCGGAGGGAGGAGGGAAGGACCCCAGAGCTCGTCGGAACCCTAGCCACTGCCGCGTCCCTCAGATCCAGGGGAGGAGGAGGTGGTGGAGGACTAGGGGTCAGATCTAGAGGAGGAGCAAGAGAGAGAAGGACTGACCTATCTCGTCGGAGCCGCCATTGTCGCCCTCGTCTCCTGGTGAGGGGCACGTGAGCTTGGGTCAGTTGGTGAGTGGTGGGGTCGCATGGAATTCGCGAAGGGGAGGATGGAGGGACGGGCAGGGCGGCGGCGGCGAGCTTGCGCTGGCGCGGGAGCCGTGTAGGGATGAGGGAGCGAGCGAGCGAGTAGGGATGAGGATGAGAGAGTTGCTATGGAGCGATGAGGGCGGTCAAGTCGTTGCAGTGCGACGTGTTCGTCCGGACGGAACGAACGCCCGCTCTTTATCACTATCCAAATCCAAAGACTCATTACACTTGCAATAGCGAGGCTCATTATACTTGCAACTAAACTAGCCGGAGCGAAATTGCCATGCCAGACGCACACCGCTTGGTGCCCTTGTAGGCCTCGAGCGTCGCCGTGCCCTATGGGCCTCTTAGTGCCGCGTCCTGTGGTGTTTGGTCGTGCCGGCGTGGGAGAGGAAGCCCCCCCCCTGTCCCAGTCAACCACAAAATAAAATAAAGTCGTACATAGGAATGCTTCCAAATATGAGATTTAGTGAACAAAAATGGTTAATTTCCTCGATTTCATGATAGGACTCAACACTTGATGGCAATAAAAAAGAAAATTTTGGAGTTACAAGCCATGCGTTGCATGGGGTCACCAATTTTTATGTACGTATAAAGCGACGCACGTGGCTTGCAGATTCGATGAACATATTAAGAAAACTACAAATATAATTACATAGAAAATATAAAGCCTATTTCATATTCTTTGTCACGTGTGTCGCGCAGATCTAGTTTATAGAAAATATAAAGCCTGTTTTACTTTTCTAATACTTGTGTGATTTATTATTAAGCATTTTACAATTTTAAGTTGATTTGATCATTTCAAAAAATATTAAAAAGCTAGTAAACAATTTTGTATTGGAAACCCCAAACTATTTTCAAATCCATTCAGACCTTTTCTTTTTCTCCTTTTCTCCTTCGTGGCGGGCCTTGACTGCGGGGTGTCATCGCGATGGCCTTTCTGGACATCTTCGTCCGAGTTCCATGGCGAGAACCAAGCCAACTCTAAGTTCTGGCGCGTCGGTAATAACAGCAGCCAAGGCTAAGACGAAGCAGAAGTAGCATGGTTGAAAAGGTCCTAATATGACTAGAGCGGGTGAATAGTCTATTTAAAAACTCTACAAAGCACTAGGGCAATTGATTAGTACAACAAATGGCTTAATGTAATTTTGCTCTAGCTCTATAAGGTTTGCAAGCCACCTATCCCAACAATTCTAGTTGCTATGATCACTAGACACAAAACAAGCTAGGTCACTACTCACTAAGCTAGTGTGCTTTCAAAGACTAACTAAAGAGCCACACTAACCAAACTAATAAGCTCTCAAAGACTGCCTACACTAAAGAGATTGACAACTAGTTTGCAAGGAATGTAAAGTAGTGAGTAAGGTGATTATAGTGTCG